CATTAACAATTCCTCCTTCGGAAGTACAATATTATGTAGTAACATTGCAAATCACCATAAACATGGTTTACACTCCATTGTCCACATCTCGCTGCTGTTGACCTCACATGTGCTAACCAATATTTCTCTCATGTGTTGCAGGTACCTGAAGGACCTCGGACTCGAGCGCCTGCCACCCCTCGGGAATCTGCACTCTCTTGAGGCTCTTTACTTGTAAGTCAGCGTGACGCCTGTCGCCCTTCAAGTGTATTCAAGTAAATATGAGATTCAGTGATAAAGCTACGTCTTTGCGTTCAATCTGCTCATTCCTTGGCTTCCTCTCCCGCAGGAGTAGCAATCGTATCAAGTCGGTGGAAAACCTGTCGCTGACTGGGATGTTGAGTTTGAGAGAGCTGGATCTCTCCAGAAACCGTCTGACAACGATGTCCTCTCCGCCCTTCAAAAGTGTCAAGCTCCGAAAGCTGTAAGTTGATCTGCTTCCCATCCTCATTTTCCTTAGATTCACTCCCAGCCAGTTGTTCCTCTCTCCATCCTTTTACATGTTACTTGCTTGTTACTTCTTCTCATGCTCCACCTTCGCCCCCTCTCCCTCCCCTTATCCTCCTCCTCCATTACTCTTACTCCCTCCCGGTCCCCTTCCCCTTCCCAATCTCTTCCTCTCTTCTTTCTCTATCTCCCAGTTCCCCGCCTCTCCTCCCCTCCCAGTTCCTTCCTCTCATCTTATGTCCCTATCTCTGTCTTTCTCTATCCCTACCCTCTCCCTTCTCATATCTTTCAACGAGTCGTTTATATTTTATTTCATTTGACACACGTATTGCAACTCTGTTTTATTATAACAAGAAAGCCAAATGAGCTTATATATAGGCTGTGACACGATTTTGTAATATGCCATCCGCCATTGTCAAGGGTTTTAAGTGTGGACAGCAATGGTAGGATGCAAGAGATGGGATGATGGTGGAGGTGTCGTGGGGCCGATGCAGAAGTGTAGTCTGATGGCGAAAGGGGGAGGGAGTTGGGCGCGGGTGGCCATGGGCGGCGCCACCACTTGCCACCGCCGCTCATCATCTCGTTGAGATTGATCGTTTTATGGCCAGCGTGCCCGTGTACCCAGCACCTCTTCCCTCCTCTGTACCTTCCACCTCCGTCTTTCCATGTTCCCTCCACCTTTGCCCCTCCGCGTCCGCCGGCGAGCCGCGCGGTAGCTCCTGCTTGGACTGGCGGAGCGCCGGCCGGTCGCCAGCAGTGATGCCATGAAGAGGAGAGAGAGAGAGGACAGTAGGGGGGGGGGGGGGAGGAGAGTAAGAGGACAAGAGGAGGAGAGGAGAAAGAGAACAGAGGAAGGGAGCGGGAAAGAGAAGGAGAGAGGAGAGGAGAAAAGAGAAGGGAAGAGAGGAGAGGGAGAATGGGAGATGAAAAGAGAATGGAAAGGGAGGGGGGAGAAGAAATAGAGAGGATAGGACAGGACATGAGAGATGGAAGAGAGGACAGGAGAGCAGAAAATGGAGAGAGGGGAGAAAGGATAGGAGAGAAGAGGGGAAAGAGGATAGGAAAGAAGAGGGGAGAGATGATAGGAAAGAAGACGGGAGAGAGGATAGGAGAGAAGAGGAGGGGAGACGAGAAGGGAGAGAGAGGACAGGACAAGACATGACATGGCAAGAGAGAGGGAAGGGAGGGCAGGAGACCAGAGAAGGGAGAGAGAGGAGAGAAGATAGGAGATAGGAGAGACGAGAAGGGAGAGAGAGGATAGTAGAGACGAGAAGGGAGAGAGAGGATAGGAGAGACGAGAAGGGAGAGAGGATAGACGAGGAGACGAAAAGGAAGAGAGGATAGACGAGGAGACGAAAAGGGAGAGAGGATAGACGAGGAGACGAAAAGGGAGAGAGGATAGACGAGGAGACGAAAAGGGAGAGTGGAGAGTAGACGAGGAGGGAGAGAGGAGATTGGAGAGGAGGGGAAACAGGAGAGGGAGAGTGGAGAGGAGAGATAGAGAGATGACGACAGAGGAGGGAGGGAGAAAGGAAGAGGGAGAGGACAGAGGAGAAGAGAAAGAAACTGGGAGAATGAAAGGTGGAGGTATATAAACGGGGGATAGAGGTCTCTGGGAGTGTGAAAGAAAATGAACCATACGAATATATGCATTTCAGATGTGCAGCCGAGCCAGGCACCGCTAGATGTAAGTGGCTAAACGCCCGAAGTTGCTTTTGAAATAGATCATAATCAGAAAGGGGTCTGCTGGCGATGACCCGTTCCCATGATCGCTTTCCATTGCTGCTGACGCTAGTAATGAGGATGTAGCGGTCAAGTCCGGCAAGTGGACCCTCATATAGTCGTTACAAGCGATCGGGAAGCTTTTGCCAGCTTGTGTTTTTTGAGCCCCGTTATTGTTTACTTTAAGGCTAACCCTCTGATATACCGGACGCCCCCCCCCCCCCCCCGGTTACCGTAAACTCCCCGTGATGCTTTGCAAGCGATCACCGGAGAATCGCCAAAAATAAAGCGT